AATATTTGTCGGTTAGTACATTAGTAATAGTCTAATGCTTAGTTTTTAAATAAATAGAGATACCTAAAAATGTGGCGCCATCTAGCGGTGCTATGCGGAAACTATTTCACGACAAACTTGGGCAATTTCGTGAGAGATGGCGCTACAGTTTTCGGTATTTTTACTTATTTAAAAACTAAGCATTAGACTATTATTAATGTACTAACCGAATGTTGAATTATAATAATTGCGATGAAATATTATATGAATATGCAGGAAAAAGTAAAACAATATGAATATGTGTGAAGAAATTTCTTTCGATGGAAAACATTGGTTATGTTTACAACTCTCTTCTGATTGCATACGTGTATCAGATTTGGACAAGAACGCAACGGATGGAGACAGAGATTCTGGGCATGGTGGTTCGCCAACGAGGGAGACACCCAATGCACAAGACACCGATGAAGAATCCAGTTACCCCTACGACACACCAGTTGCAACACCGTCCAAGAAGAGTGGCAACTTCTGGAGACGTTTTACCATGAAGAACCGCAACAAGCGGTAAATTACTTCACGCTGACTCTGCGACGTACTGATTACTCATTTCCATTTCTCTAACTGTACCAACTTAGTTATTCGAGCAGAGCTTGCAACTGTGATATATGTAAAAGAGGAAACAAAGTTCTCCCGCGTGAAAAAGCACACTTCCCGATCTTTCTTTTTAAGGTAAAATACTTAGTACTTAAACACTACAAAAAATGGACCAATACTTGAACAATCTAGTTACACTGGTATTATTTGAAAATGTTTGTTATATATATATAATAACTCCATTTAAACATTCATTAATGCTTTTGCAACGTTCAGTTGTCAAAGTCAAAGACAATATACTTTGAAGTGTGTTCAATTACTGGGTATTTTACTTTACATCGATTTCAAGGAGTTTCCGGACTTGTCTGCAAAATAACAAAGACCAACGATAAAATAAGAAACCAAATTTTTGTAAAAAACAATGAGCGCAATCTCATCTCGCATTACATATCACGGCGATATTTTTGGAATTATTTTCGAGGGTGTTTTTTAGAATTCTTTTGAATTCTTTCAAGAGGTTTTTCCGACGAAAATATTTGTAAATAATTACCGCGCGATGTTGCGGAGACTCCTTAAAGATTTTCTGGTCTCACAATGTTAAACGGAACTCTTGGTGTGTACTTAAATAATAACTAAGAAGCGCAGCGAAATACTTAGAATGTAAGTGTAGTAAATTTGATTTTCCGTTTCTTTTTTTTTTTTTTTTGTAACTTTAATGATAAGGACGAAGAAAACCAGGTGAAGTATGGTAGTCACATGAAACATTAAGTGTGCACAACTATTTCATCATACCTGTACATTATTAGTATTAGCTAGTCAGCCAAGCAGGTTTTACAGATTTTTAAATGCCTCATTCTGTATGAAGATCAACATCAAGAAACTACAAAAGATACTCTATGATACTCTATGATCGAGATTCTACTGTATTATTATATTTTTCTTTTCTGGCACTTGAAATATTTATGACTAATCTTACAATTAATGTAAATCGATGAAATTATTATTAAAAATACAATTATCCGCTTGCCGTGTTAAACGAGAGATCGTGAATGTAAAAAATAACAATCTTTTTATACTTGGAAGTAATCTTGGTTTTTTTATGCAACCTATTCGCTGAACAAATATCTGGATAATCACAATTTCAGGATACTGCGTATTGTAAAGGTTGATATTTATTGTGCACGACGTCGGTATGAAATTCCATTGTTCCTATCGTTTTAAGGCGTCTCGTACTTTCAGAATCAGCCGCGTTTATTCTTAAACGAAACGTAATCACCCTGTTACAATTAACAATAATCACTTACCTCATGTATCAATGATGAATCTGATGTAAGCTATGTTAATTGTAAAAACTAGAAAATCATAATGATGTAAAGGTAACGATTAAATAAAAGTTCTCTTCGAACGTTACAACGTTCAAAAAAAAAAAAAAATGTTTATTGCTGCCGCAAGTTTTTTAATCGTGTAACTACTATCACTACTACGGAAACAGGTAGTTCTTCCACCTGAAATAATAAACAAAAATAATAAAGGTAACTATTAAAGTTCGATTCAAACTTTATAACATTCAAAAATAAAGAAGCCTTTATTAAAACATTGTATCGATGTAACAAATGGAGCGAGTATCCGCTTAAAGTACAAAATTCTGTAGAAAAATAGGTTCCCTCATTTCATTATTTATATATATAATGAACTCAACGATAGATCTTTCATTGATTTGTGAATTTGGGTGGTCGCTTCTCAACGAACGCCGTCATTCCCTCCTTCCTGTCACTCTGAAAATTAAGTATCATATCGTATACTTTTTGTAAATGCTGTTTATATATACTATGCTTTATTTTTAGCAAACTTCTCACCGTTGCGAATGTACCATGAAACATCCTTTTTTCAAAATGAAGCCCTTCCTTCAAAGTGGTCTCATAAGCTGCGAAAAAATTGTTAAAAAGATTCCAGAGATAAAATAAACAAAGTAACTCTTTAAAACATTATAAACCAATGAAAATGACAATCTAAATAAAATTTTGTTGTAAACCAGTGAAAACTTGAACGTTATTACCCGCATGAACGGATTCTTTCGCCATGGCAACGATCAATTGCGAGTGAGAGGCAATTTTTTCACCCAATTTAACGGCCTCTGCAACGAGCTTGTCTGCTGGGACGACTTTGCTGACCAATCCTGTAGCCATAAAAAAACACTTTAGAGGTAAAACAAAACAGTTAAAACACAAACTTTTTTCTGCTGTTAAATTAACGAACCACTTTTTTCTGCCTCCTCAGCAGTGATCTGGTTCCCTGTAAGTACCATTTCCATTGCCTTGCTCTTGCCAACGACTCTAGTCAATCTTTGAGTGCCACCAGCACCAGGGATTGTTCCGATGCAGACTTCTGGTTGTCCAAATCTTGCTTTATCCCCGGCATAGATGATGTCGCACATCATTGCCAATTCGCAACCTCCACCTAACTAGATGTAATAAGAATTCATAATCTTGGCATCTTACTGCTTCTAGTTTCTTGGAATAGAGATTAGTTTACTTTCTTAGCAGAATTTCACATTTTGCAACTTACAGCATAGCCATTCACAGCAGCAATCACAGGTTTCATTCTTCTAGAAACACTGTCCCAATGACTTAAGAAATTACTTTTTACGTTGTCCGAGTAAGTTTTATTCTGCATTTCCTTGATGTCGGCACCTGAAAAAACAAATTAAGTCATGTTTGACTTAGGAAAAAAACTTAATTTAGATGCAGAGACGTACCAGCTGCAAATGCTTTTTCACCACCAGTAAGTACAATAGCACCAATGCTTTCATTCACATCAAGCCTGGTCACTGCATCATTTAATTCAGTCATCAATTTGTCGCAAAGAGCATTAAGTGCTTTTGGTCGGTTTAAGGTAACCAAACCCACATTTTTCTTCTCTCCTGTGATTTCAACTTTGACCATTTCGTAATTGGGTACTTGACCTGTATGAAATAAGTTTTTACAATCAACAATAATGCAAAGCTTTTTTTACCATACCATGATTTTGAAGAAGTGCATGAAAAAGTGATTATGTGAAATTTTGTGAGATTGTTTGAAAATCTCCTTTTCATTTGACAAATACAATTCAAGTATTTTCTGGCACTAAAATCTAATGAATTTTAAAATTCATAGAATATTCTGTAATTTTGTTTAATAATAAAATCATAAGAGAATTTCTCTCATTCGCTCTATGAAGATGCTAGAATTACTCTTTATTCAAGGATTTTTCTACATCACAGGTAGTTGACGACCTTGCACTGTAACCTAAGACAAGCGGGTACTTACAGCAATAATATTTAACATTACACCCAAAATGTGGCAATCTTCGACTTATTTGTAAAGTCCTGGGGACCAGAATTTGACCAACACGAGTAGTTGCCATGATATCTATTTAAGTAGTTATTGACTTAAAAAACGTTAACTAGTACCGGCGCAAGCTCTCGGAAGATCGTACTAGACATTCACTAATTTTCACCAATGTTCACGTACGACTGATAAGACTGGTGTGCCACGTTGCCTCCTAATCTATTCAATCTGTTCGCCAATGCACAAAGGACACAGTGATACACGAGCATACACGAACGAGACTTTCTTTATACGATGACCAGAATCAGGCAGGTGGAATCAGTGGCGCACATAAAAATCATGAAACCCTGTCACTGCTCAAAGCAGCTTAAAGTCAAGAATTCAGTATTTCAGTTAGCATCGAAAGTATCAAAAGATTTAACACTAAACCTACCAAGACTGATAAAAAAATGCTAGCACTAAACTATATATAGTTCAATACATGCTATACAGGGTGTTTCTTAATATGACGCTTTTTAGCCTTCAGTATTGTATTAGGGGAGTCGAGAAGTAATGTCGTTTCTTTTACATTAAATTCAAACAAATACATTTTTAATAATTTTCGGTTTTTAATTAATTATCAAATCACTCTCGTTATCAACAGCCTTTTGTTATCTAGTTTTCAAACTTTCAATGCCAGATCGATAAAAATGAATGAGCTGATAAATGATAAACAAGTATTTAAAATTGCTAAAACGACATTACTTTCCAGTCCACCTAATATAATACTAATTTTATCAAAATAAAAAATATTGTTAAATTGTATTACATGTTCAATCACTACAAAATATAAATTCTACATATATTCAACATTGACTGTAGCATTGACTGACACATTTCCCTTCAATTTCCTTTCATTTTCTGTGACATTTCCCTTTAACTTCCCTTAAATTCCCCCTCATTTCCTGGCACATTTATCTTTAATTTCCCTTTATTTTTTGTGACATATCCCTTTATTTTCCTTTTTTATTCTCATACACTTCCTGCTACACTTCCAATTAACTTTCTCTCATTTCCTGACATATTTCCCTTTAATTTCCCCTTACCTTCTGGCACATTTACCTTTAATTTCCCTTCATTTCTTGGTACACTGACCTTTAAGTTTTACACTGCTCAATTTGCAACATTATTGAACTTTTAAGAGGAGAGAAGTTGTGCTACCTCTTCGCATATCATGTTCTCCTGATACCAGGAGTAAAAATCAGGCCAAAATTTGATACGTACCACAGATTCTTCGTGCCACCTCTTCGCATATCATGTTCTCCTGATACCAGGAGTAAAAATCCGACATTTCCCATCACAATTTTGAGAGGAGCGATTTGCAACATTGTTGAAGTCTGGAGAGGAGCTATTTGCAACATTGTTGACTTTGCAACATTTTTGAAGCTTCGCGAGGAACGATTTGCAACATTGTTGACATTGTAAGATTGTTGAAGTTCGTAGAGGAACGATTTGCAACATTGTTGACATTGTAAGATTGTTGAAGTTC